CCAAAGGCATGTGGTTTGAATCCATCTGCTTCTCTGTGAGAGAAAGGTGGGCAATTTCTTCCTGTGTGATTTACAGGCTCTGGGTACCTTCTAAGAGTGTCAGCTATGAGTCCATTTCATATAACAACAGTCATAACAACAAACAAATCTGTCTTGGAGGAAGTATGGGTAGGGTACTCCTTAGAGGTGAAGGTAGGGAAACTGTCTCATGCACTCTGGGCCTGTTGTCAGGACGGTCAGTCCTTGGACAGAAGACGTCATCCTGGGAGACAGTGGAGGGTCAGTGGCAGAGGAAGACCGTCAAGGAGATGGAGTGACACAGTGACTAGGACAATGAGGATGGCACTGGATGGGGCAAACTTCAGAGCTGTTGGTTATAGTGTCGTTATGACTCCTTGTCAACAGGGCACCTAACAACAATAGAAGGATTTGATTTGGTTTGATGACAGCTGACAAGAAGTCGCAGGCAGTGCAAAACCCAAGCAGTGTGCCAGATTTGGCTCCCAGACTGTCGTTTGCCAGCCCCTGCCCTGCCCGACCGCTCATTCCCGTCTCATGAATAAGGACGCTGAGCCTCCGGCCCCTTTGCGGCATGTGCAGAAATAGGCCACAGCTTCTGGCTTTCTGGCATCCAGCTATGGGGTCCCCTCAGGGCTGGTGGAGTTGTGGCTTCTCTGTAGCTGATACCACCCTCCACCATGGATGGCCGAGGTGTGCTCCCGCTTGGAGCCGACCCTAACCCTGGTGGAAATACCCTGTCTTCTGCAGTGTGTGGGTGCCGTGCACCTACCCCCTGCCCCCCTCCCTGTGGATGCCCAATGGGAAGAAGAGAATTAATTCGTCAAGGAAGAAGGCTTTGTGTCCTGGGTCTCAGATTTTCGGGACCTCCTTTTCCCATCCCTGTCCAGGCCACCCCACTTCAACCCCAGGAGGCAGCCTTTGTGATGGAAAGATCTGGAAACCCAATCCCACTTAACAGCTGTATCACCCTAGGCAATTTACCTAATCTCTCTGAGCCTGGAACTCCAAGGGCTAGGACTGCTAATGGGCTGCTAAGACATCCTGAAGGCACGGTGGTTAAATGCTGTTTACTCAAAGGCTGGTGGTTTGAAACCATCTATAGACCTGGCAGTCTGTTCTTAAAAAGATTTTAAAAAACCCTGCAACTCGTCATTGCTATAAAGATTGAACAAAACCCTCACCGCGTGGAGTTGGAGTGGACTCCGAGCTGACCCCTCAGCAGGTTTTTGTAGATGGTAAATCTCAAGGGACGGTATGGCCTAGCAGTAGGTTCCAGCGCCCAAGAGGTCCTGCCCCTGGGTTAACAGTACAACTTCCTGGCCTTCGAAACCATAGGGAAATGTTCTACTCTGTCACACCAAGGTTTGCTGAGTGGAAATCGGCTCCGCTTCCTCTAACAGTGTGGTCTGGTTATGAGAATGAAAGAGGTAGGTATATGTCTAGCACGTATCCCAACTCAAAACGACCTTGTTACACAGGGTTGTTGTTAGGTGCTATTGAGTCGACCCTGTGAACACAGACCTGAACCCTGCCCCGTCCTATGCCTCCCCACCAACTCTGACACCCTTAAGCCACTGCTTCATCACTGTGTCAATCCATCTTGTTGAGGGTCTTACTCTCTTTGGTCAACTCGCCACCTCCAAGCCTGATGTCTCCCTCCAAGGAACAGCTGCTCTTAGCAAATGCTCAAAGTATGTGCAATGAGGCTTTATCATCTTTGCCTCCAGGGAGCGCTCTGGCTTCCTCAGGCATATCCGTTTGTTCTTCTGGTGGTCCCTGGGATGGTCAGTGCTTCTCCAACACCACAGCAGGATAGAACTATACTATGCATTTCCAAGGCTGTAATCTTCACAGAAGCAGCCTCACCTCTCTCTCAGCGGTGGCTCATGGGTTCAAACCACCAACCTTTGAGCTGGCCACTGAGCATTTTAACCACTGTGCTACCTGCACACCTGTCCACTGGCAGCCACTCTTCCCTCAGCCGACCCAGAATTTTCTCTTTTCTGAAAAGCACCCTTTTCGTTATGGCCCTGCGCTCACTCCCTTTGCAAGGCCTCAGGGGATACCCAGCCTGAAGCCCGCCAGCCCCTGGCATGTGTGAGCTGGGTAGTGTTGAAATCCCCTTCCTAAACGCTCTGGAAGTGCGCAAGAGAGCTGGCCTGACGCAGAAGTGCCAACTGACAGAGGTTTCCACACTGTGCCATTTCACTGGGAAGGCACCAGGCTCCGGCTCACAGCACTGGCCACGGGGGAGCATTTCGATGCATTCTTCTGTCAGAGCTATGACTTTTCCCTCGGCCGAGGCTGGGCCGGCTGTCTACTGTCGGTTACTGGGAGGAGATCCAGCCCAGCTGAGACAAAGCAGCTCCGTGTAGGAAAGACAAACACGCCAGGCCAGGCTCCGGGAGAGTCTTTCCTCCCTCCCCGCAGTGCTCTGCACGAGTTTACGACATGCCTGTGGCGTGTCAGGCGCTGTGCTGGTGCAGAGAACAAACAATAACGCTCCTTTATGCAGAGTCTGGGCAGCCAGGGTTTGGAGATCTCAGATCTCAGGCCCTGCTGACATGAGAGTTCCTTGTTTTCTTCTCTCTGGCTCCGGGGGAGGTCCTGGGGACATTGCCAAGGCTGGACTTCTGCCTCCCGAGTTACCACCCTCCCTGCCATTCCCAGAGATAGGCCCTGGGAGGCACAAAGGGCTGTTTAGTCTAATCTCCACGTAGCACTTGAATCCCCTGAAAGATTTGGGGTGGGGTTTTTTCAGACTTTATTTTCATACTCTATGTGATGGGGAGCTCACTACCACTCACCATCTGCTTTCTCTGGGCAGGTTTGCATCATCTTGGGTCTGATCCACAGGAAGGCAGTTCAAGCAAGTCTTCTCTAATGGCTAGATGAAAACTAAGAGGGACTTCTTGAAGAGTAGTGACATTCCCTCCCTTGTTTACTAGAAAGTAGAAGCTGAGCTCCCACTTCAATGAGGATAGTAGGGAGATGATCGCTAACAGGGAGTCAATCCTGAGATCTCCTCATCTGGTCATCGAAAGGTGGGCAGACACATACATACGCAAGGAACGGGCTCTGCAGATTTGAGGAGGAGGAAGGGGTGAGCCCCACATCCTGAACCCTTTTTTCCGTGCCCTAGACACAGGGCAGTGGGGGTGTGACTGGGCCTGGTGCCCCGTGAGCCCAGTTCTGTCCACGCAGCTGTCTGAGCGCAGCCCCTCGGAGCCGGCTTCCGTGTCCCAGCTTTCTTCTTCCTCCCTTCCTGAGTCCTCCCCTGCCCCCCACGCTCCCCGTGGGAGTCAGGGGATGGCGTGCTCAAGCCTGGCTTGTCTTTTATCTGGAGCAGTAGTTGTATCACCCAGGCTCAGAGTGAATAATCAGAAACCATCTGTGTGTCTAGTCTTGTTGTTACATACTGCCGAGTCAGAACCAACTCACAGCTGACCCTCTGGTGGGTTTTTAGAGCTCTGGTGACCAAGTGAGTGAGGAGTTACGCCCAAAGGCAAGTGGTTCAAATCCACCAGCTGCTCGGCGGGAGAAGGATGGGCAGTGTCCTCTTACTGCCTCTGTGACTCAGCAGCACACAACAACAATAGCAGCAGCAGCAACAGCAACAAATCACACGGAAGGAGACTGACCGCCATCTTTCTCCATGGAGCAGCCGAGATACGAACTGCATGTGCTGTGACTCTAGACGGGACTTTACCCCGAACCCTCTGGGTTCCTGAATGAGCTTCTGGGAGCCCCCAGGAATTGTTTGTAAAATGTTGCCTTTATGTAAATTTCCTAGAAGTGTCTGTGACCTCCCCCACTAAACGTTCAAAAAAGTGATTAATAGAGTGGGCTCCTGTGTGGCATGTAAAATCATACTGTAAAAAAGACGTTTTGTTGGCTTGCAAAACTATGGCCATGGAGTTGATTCCTGCTCACAGATTAGCCCCAGAGCCGACCCACGGGCCTCCAGTGCGATAATACTCATGGAAGCGGACCGCCATCTCTTTCTACGGCGCAGCAGCTGATGTGTGTGTGTTAAACTGCTGACCCTTCAGTTAGCAGCCAAGCATTAACCACTGCACTGCCTGGGCTTCATCAGCATGCAGAGATCCTCCCAATATATAGCAGAACGGAAAAAGCAGGCGACACAACACGCTAGTGAGGCCAATTTTGTTTAAAAGCAGTTGTGAGACACACAGATAGAGAGAGAGGGAGGGAGGGAGAGAGGGAGAGAGGAAGAGAGAGAAAATGAATACCTCCTAAAACGACAGCTTGTGTTTCTGAGGTAGGAGAGTGAGGTGACATGTACTTTTCATTTTCTGTTGAATGTCATAAGAAGGCAGGGACGGGGAGGGGGGTGGGGGACGGGGGGCACTTGGCCTAGTTTCCAAGAGAAACCAGAGCTGTCCCTCTCACTCCAGCAGCCACAGCCTCTTAGTCCTGGAACCAGAGCTGTCCCTCTCACTCTAGCAGCCCCAGCCTCTTAGTCCTGGAACCAGAGCTGTCCCTCTCACTCCAGCAGCCCCAGCCCCTTAGTCCTGGAGACAGTCTGAGAGTCTGTGGATCAGGCCGTGGGTTTCACCTCCGCCTCCCTCCATCATCGCTCACTACCCCCTGACTTCCTTGTCCCCTTACTTGAACCAGACCCCAGCGAGGCACATCTTGGACCCGGGGTCATGGAGGGGAGGGTCCTCTGCACAGTTTTCCTCCAGCCCCCTGCCTGCGGTGTGGCTCAGCTGGGACCATACCCATCAAGAGGTTCCTGGGAGGACCTCCCTTCTACCTGTGTGACTCTGGGCCACCTGACCTGGCTTCTCTGGGCCTCAAAGCCCTGTGTTAGCACTTGCCTATTTTCTAGGGTTGCTTGAGGGAGGGCTGAGGTGATTTGGGGCCACCAGATAAGTACCCCCCTTCCCGAGCCCTGTCCCACCGCCACACTGACCTACATTTTCTTCCCCTCAGATTGCTCCAGGACCAGCAAGATGGGATCAGCCTGTGTCAAAATCACCAAATACTTCCTCTTCCTCTTCAACTTGCTCTTCTTTGTAAGTGTGGCCAGCACTGCCCTGACCCCCCAGTAGTCTGTCCAGCCAGCGGCTTCTCAGCCCAAGACCCTCAGATGTCCAGGCCTCAGGTTCAGGTGGTTGGGTGGGGCTAGGGACAGCCTTGGGACTGAGTGGAGGTTGTAGTTGTTACGTGTTATAGCTCACCCACAGCTAGGAGATCCCTGAATTTCCCAGCTGGCTCTTGGCAAAGCACTGTGTTCCACCCCCAGCCTTGCCCTCCTCTGAGCTGCACAGCCTGGGCTGGGCAGGGCTGGAGGGGTGTGAGAAAGGAGAGTCCATCAGATTGTCCCCCCCAGTGCATCCACAGGACACTTTTGGGAAGGAACCTCCTGGCATCTCCAAGCTGCTTCTAAAATCTCTCTGTTCCCATCTGGATTCCCTGTACCCTCTTCCTCCACCACCTATGAACTGGCCTGACTCTCAGCTGCCCCATGATACCCCTCCCCGCTTTGTGGGGATTCTTCCTCAGTTCCAGTAGTGTGGGCAAAAGGGGGCTAGGCTCCTGACTAGCTAGGGTCGAGGGGAGCTCTTCAGGGGGTATTCAGCCTCCCCCAGACCCACTCTGGCAGGGCGCACTTGGGTCCCTCAAGCCATGGAGGCGTGCAGATGTCAGCTGCGTAGCACATCTGGAGTTGGTTTTCCTGGGGCCTAAGTTTTCCTGTCTGGCCTGGCACCCGCTGAAGACTGCCGCCTTGGGGCTGCCAGGACGATGGTGTGTTTCTCTCTCTGTGTGTGTGTGTGTGTGTGTGTGTGTGTGTGTGTGTGTGAAGCAGAGATAAAAGGGGGGCAGAAGAGGGAGAGAAAGAGGATGGGGTGGGCCTAGGGAGGTCTTAACAGCCCTGACTGAGGTTGGGGTGCTGACCTCTTGTTGCACCCCCACTGTAGTGTCTGTGTGTCCTCAGTTTACCCTATGCAGGGTTTTCAGTAGGATGTTTATTTTCCTTAAAAAAAAAAAAAGAATCACACACACTCCTGACAATTTTTTTGACAGGAGAATTCCCTAGGATGTTAATTTTGGGATTCCTGGGAATTTTTCTTTTATTCTGTTTTTTCGTCTGTTCTAAACAGTCTACAGAAGGCATGGAATGCTTCTTCTTGTGGTGTGCCATCAGCTCAGAACCAGCACCCAGCTGACCCTCCAGTAGGTTCTCCGAGGCTATAATTAGCCTGTGAGGAGACTGCCCAATTTTTGCCCTAGAGTGGCTGGTGGGCTTGAACCATTTACCTTTCGGTTGGCAGTGCATCTCCTTACTCACTGGGCCACCAGAACTCCCTTATGCATCACTCAGGAGATAACATATAAATTGCTTAGGATTAGAGAAAGGTTGGAAAGTAAAGGGTCCTCCTCGCACCCTCTCCCTGCCCTGGCCTTGAACTCAGCACACAGATCCTTACAGGCCAAGCTGAGGACTCACAATGGCTGACCTTCTCCTGATAGGCCTGGGACCCCAGCCTGAGCAGAGGCTGGGTCCCCACACCAAGCAGGGCCTGAGCCTGGGCTTCCCCAGTGTGGCTGTCAGGCCTCTTTGGAACAGCCCATTCCAAAGTTCTGGGAAGCAGCTTCCCAGTCAGCCAGACTCCCCCTGGCAGGGCCTGAGCTTCTGGGCTGAGGCCCGGCTTGAGGGACCAGCAGCCAGGACTGAGGTGGGGGCCCTCGCTCCATCATGGAAGGTTGGGAGGTTAGAAGCCAGAGAGGCACGTGGGACTAGGGGCCTAGCCAGCGGGTTCTTAAACCTCAGTCTAGGAGCCTGGCTTCTCCCCTTTCCCTGGAAAGTGGGAGCTGGAGGGCTCAGCGAGGAGGTGGGTGGGGGTGGTGACATCTCATGGAGAAAATGAGGGGGCTGACGGTTTGGCTGGCATCCCCTCCTGTCGGCTCCCAGGCTGCCCAGTGGAGCCAGAAACAGAAAGTGTCTCTCAGGTCACCTCTGGAGGTGAGCCAGGCCTTTCTAGGGGGCCTCAGTGGTCTCGTACCAGGGTGTTAACTCCCTGTGTGCTGGAGCCGGGGTGACACGGGAAGGCAGGCCTGTGGGAACGAGGTGTGTATCTTTACCTGACCTAGGGCAGGGGGAAATAAGAGGTTAGAAGAGACGATGTCAGTGTAGCTGTTCATGCAGAAATCATGGCTTCGACACTGCGTTCAGACCCTGCCTGGGTGCAAGGCAGTCTAGCTGTGGGGAGCAGGGGTGAAGGGTGCTTAATAAGTGATATACAAAGGGGTTATCAGTGTGCAGTTGAGGGGAGTGCTGGGGGTGAAGCCTATGTCCCTTGGGCCCTTCACCCCACTGGCGGGGTCAGCAAAGATGTCCTAGGTTGGGTGGAAGTAGCATCTAGGAGGGCTGAGCACTCTAAGTGGCCCAAGCCAGGCCCCAGGTAAAAGCCGCCTTTACTCAGGAAACTGTCCCTGGCCCTGATGGCAGATATGTCCCCAGCTTTGTGGGACACTCGGCTTCTGGCTGGGATTATATGAGAGGGGAGCTGCGGCTGTGGGCCTTGGCCTGCTGGGAGGCTGGGGGTGGCAGGCAGCAGGAAAGCCCAGTGCCTGCACCCATCACCCTCATCCGTTTCCCTATCTAGTCCTCTGCCCACAGGTTGCTTCCCTAAAGACAAGCCAGCTGCTATGAGTTGATTCCCCGTCACAGCAGTTCTGTAAGACAGAGGCATCGACCGCTGGTTTTCTAACGCTATAAACCTCTACAAAAGCAGACGGCCATCCCTGTCTCCTGCAAAGAGGCTGATGGGGGTTTGAACTGCCCACCTTTTGTTTAGCAGTCTAATGATTTAACCACTGCACCACCAGGGCTTCATTATAACTACATAAAGCCTTAGAAACCTTTTGGGGCAGTTGTATTCTGTCCTGTAGGGTTCCTGGGGGTCAGAGTCGACTTGACTGGACACAGCATGTTTTCTTGGCGCTGTCAGGGAAGGCTCCCAGAGGAGACAGTCTTGGAGCTGAAAGACAAAGTAGACGTCGTGTTCAAGTCCATAGAGGGGGAGGGGGCTCACAGCCTCTAAGCTACACTCCCCCAACCTGGGCAGGAGCTGGCCCCTCTCAGAGCCAGTGGGTTCAGCCTGACCACATGGGCAGTTGGTGGACAAGCATGAGGCCCGCATGTGGCCTTGCTGCCCAGTTTGCTGGGCTGGGCAGGAGCTTGGGGTCTGTGCCTGAGGTCATCCTGGCCATCAAAGGCTGGAAGGGAATGGTAGTCCCTGGAAAAGGGAAAGTGGCCAGCTTGGGGGACCCCTCACACCCCACCCTCCTTGGCTTCCTCATTAGACTCCCCTTCTCCTTCCAGATCTTGGGAGCAGTGATCCTGGGCTTCGGGGTGTGGATCCTGGTCGACAAGAGCAGTTTCATCTCAGTGCTACGTAAGGACTCCTCTGTGGCCCCTGCCACTCCAGGGGGGAGGGTAGACACTAGGCACGCCCCCCCCCACCCCCGACCCTGGGCAGAGCTTGGGCTCCATGGTTTCCCCATCATTGACCCCGGGCCTGCTGCTGACCACTGCGCCATTAGTCCTCCACGGGGCTTTCCAGAAGGAATTCTCTCACCGCTGCGTACAAAGCTGCTGTTGTGTGGAGAACTCAGGGGGGTTAGGGAGACTAGCTTTCGCATCCAGGTCCCTTCTCTCAGCCCCAGGCTTGAAAAAGTTTCTTACTTTCTCAGCAAAACATGAGCCACAGTCTGCAGCAGGAAGTGGAAGGGTCCGGGACTATCGAGGGCAGGTGGCCTGTGAGATGAGGCTGAAGGCCACAGCAAGGTGGGGCGGGCAGGTGCGCAGATAAGAAAGGTGCCAAGGGCCACTCTCACAGAGTCACGCTCTCTGTGGCAGGCACAGTGCCAAGCCTCTTTGATCATAGAGATGGGCTCAACATACCGCCTGTTTTGAGGACAGCATAGGTGCAGACGGCCTATCATTCTGTCATGCTGTGGTCACTATGAGATGCAACAGACCCAATAGCATGTACCAAATGCCCCATAACAGCTCTGTGCATCCAGGTCTCACCAATGGCACTCACGGGGGGTCAAGTCACTTGTTGCAGTTCACACAGCTTCTGAGTTTTGAATGGTCGATATGGGGTTCAAACCCCAAATCTTTGGTCTTAAATGCTGCACATGGTGGACTGAGACACTGAGAGAACCCCTCCTCTCCCTCTTTAGAGGAAGCAGTGAGGAAAGAAGCCCAAGACGTTCCTGCTGGGTGATAAGAGCCCTTTGGATCTGCTTAGTCTCCTCCAGGCAGCCTGCCAGGCTGGCTACACTGGACTCCCTGAACTCCCTGAAGTGAGGGGCCTTCCAAGAGCACAATGACAATCCCCCCCATCAGGGTGTCCCGGGCTCACTTCCCTTCGCCGCAGCTGCCCATGACAGCAGGTTTGGATTCAGGCCCATGACAGCTGCTTGATTTGAATAAAACGGAACCAGGCTGGGCATGGGTGGTGAAGGGGGCCACACCTGTTACCCCGCCCCCAAGGCTCAGGCCTGGCCTGCATGTGGGCGAAGCCAGGACGAGCCACCACAGCCACATCCGAAAGGCCCTGGGGCAGTTGGCCTTGCCCCCTGCCGGAGGGGTGTGGTTTGCACCTCCTCTCTAGGGGCAGAACTGGATGCCCAACCTCCGCAGGCCCTTCTAACATGAAAGTCACTGCTCCATTGTGACTAAACCCAGCCTCTGACTTCCTGGGTCACAGGGCAAAGTCTGCAAGCTCAGCCCATCCACCCTGTTTCTGAGCGCTGCATCCTACCCTAGCCCTTCCTCTGGCCTCCTCCCTTCCATGTCGGAGGCTATGTTCCCGGCCAGGCCTCGGAGCCTCCATATGCACTGCTGCTGCTTAGAGATTCCCTGCGTCCTTCGCCGCAGGGCCTGACTTCAGCTATGTGGTTGTGTAGTCCGTACACTGGCCTTTTTAAAATGTCTGTCAGTGCGTCTCAGGCAGCCAGGACTTAGAAACACGTCTTCTAGTCCATTTTCTGCCAACCCCCCCAAAGGTTGGCTGTTGATTCTGATTCTACAGGCCGGAGTGGAGCTGCCCCAGAAGGCTCTCAAGGCTGTACACCCTTAACAGAAGCAGGCTGCCACTTCATTCTCCCATCTACTGACTGGTGGGTTCAAACCAGACCTGTGTGTTGTTTAACAGCCACGTGTACACACGCCTGGGTAGACTGAGGTCCAAGAAGGAGAGAAATGACTTGCTGAAGGTCGTGCAGCCAGTGAGCATCTAAGCAGGAACCCCACGGCTCCCAGGGACATGGCTTCTGGCTTCTGCCTTTACCTAGCTGAATCCTCATTATAAGCCTGAAGGCTCGGTGCTGTTATGCCCATTTTACAGAAGAGGAAATCAGAGCACAGAGCGGTGAGGTAACTTGTCCAGAGGCATAGAGCTAGAAGGTGGGGTTGCTGGGATTTGAACCCAGGTAAGTGGCTTCCCAAGCAAACACCCCTAAACCCCATATCACATACCTTTTCTGTATACTACGTGTTAGTGCCTTAATGAGAAACGGCATGAACACTGACTCTGGAGTCAGGGTTCAAATCCTGGCTCTGCTGCCAACTAGCTGTATGACCTCGGGCAAGTTACTTCACTTCTTTGTGCCTCAGTTTCCTTGCCCATAAAAAGGGGGTCATTATAAAATATACCTCAAATACACCTAACAAGGTTATTTTGAGAAAGAGTTTAGATCATTCCTGGTGAAAAATTAAGTAAAATATATTCCTTTTTAACATCTCTAGGAAGTGGAAATTATTAGTCCCATTTTACAGAGAGAGAAATGGGGGACTAAATGAAGTCTTGCCCGGGGTTAGAGTATATTGGCAGTAGAACTCCGACTAAAACTCACTGCTCTTGGACCCGATCCCTTTCAGTTGGGGCCACTTCCCCTCCATCTCCTGGGCCCCATGAGATTGAGCAAGAGGACAGGGAATTCCCTGCCACATATGGCGGATGAGTACCCCTGAGACGTATGCTCCCCTTCCCAGGTTCAGGCTGCTCAGATTAGATCTACAGTAGGTCTGCGAACCTGGCTGAAGACAGGGCAGTGTGTCAAGAAAACATTTTGAAATGAACCTCAGCTTAGCTGCCTCTGCCCTGCAGGGACCTGCCCAGCCTGAGCTCCAAGCCTTGCCAGCCGGGCCCTGCACAGGCTCAGCCTCAGGTCCGTATAGACATGTCAGGGGTGGCTTGCACCCCCACAGGGCAATGGTGGAGGTGGAGCAGGGTATCCTGCAAGTAGGGCCTTCCCTGGGCCAACATGCAGCAGATTTCCAGGCTGGGAGGAACTGCTGGAACCCAAGTCCAGGAAGCTCCAGAAGAATGAAATATGCGAGCCTCTCTCTATTCATACCAACTGCTGGGAGCCAGGGCCTGGGAATGGGGCGGCTGGGCTCCAGACTGGCCAGGCCTCAGCTGGGCTTCCTGGGGGCAGTGCTGCCCCTTGCCCTGAGGGGGAGGGCAGCTCTTCCTGCACTCCAGGACAGTCTGTCCGTGTCCAGGAAGCATTGCTAAGCCACACACACCCCTCTCCACCCACCCTCCAGCTTTGTAGCTGCCCTCACTAAGGACTGGAACATCCCACGTGGCCTGGGTGGGGTCCGGGAGGTCCCCCAGGGAGTCTTGGTCACCCAGACCTGTGTCCTCCCTGAAGAAGGGTAACTGTTAACCCCAGCTGTGCCTCAGTCCTTAGGACATCTAAGGTCCCATATTGTTGTTGTGTTGTCATGCACCATGGAGTCAGAACCAACTCCTAGCTGGCTTTCTAGTGGGTTTTCAGAGAGCATGCCACGGCATGGGGGGTGACTGCCCATCTTTCTCCCGAGGAACAGCTGGTAGATTTGAACTGCAAGCCTTCAGGTCGACAGCATAAATTCTTATCACTAGGCCAATGCAGATTCCAGGCCTTCTCCCAGGAGATTCTTTGAGGTTGCTGGCCCCTGGAATCTACATGGTTGATTCCACCTTTGGGAAAAGGGAAAACAAAAATAAATTTTAAAAATCCTTCCTGGCCACTCCCAGAACATTTGAGAGTGGCCTCGGGGCAAGTCAGCTGCCTGCCCAACAGAGCATGCCCTGCTCCTTTGCTTGCTATGATCTGTTGGGCTTCCAGAAAATTCTGCTCAAGTTCTTGACTGGAGCAGCTGGCTCCGCTGCAGCCTCTGGGCACAGCCAGCCCCCCCCTTCCGTTCTTTCTCATCTCCTTTTCATTCTCCAAATACAACCTACTCTCCGGCTTCCTAGGCTTCTGTCTTGCAGCCTGCACGTATTCACAGAGCGATGTGTGGGCCTGGCCCTGTCTTCAGAGTTGGGTGCCCGTCAAGAGCAAACCTAGTCCCTGGCCTCGTGCAGCTCACATTCTGGGGGGAAGAGCCAGGCCCTGAGCAACACAGTGACTAAGTGACTAAACTGGTGAAAAGCTGCTGTTCGTTGTGATTTGGAGCCGTTGGGTTGATCTGAACCAGCTCCGGCTGGTTAATATCCGTGAATGTCCAGAAAGCCGACAGACAAGCTCGTTGCCATGGAGTCAGAACTGGCCCATCGCTGACCTCCAGCAAGATGCGGGGGCTGTAAATCTCAGAGGAAAAGTGCGCATCTTTCTTCCACAGAGTGGGTTTTGGATCTGAACCGCCACCTTTGGGCTCATAGCACAACTCTTTTTTCTTAAAAAAATTATTTTATTAATTTTAATGAATGTTTACACAGATTTGGGATTTCCATTCATTCATTGTTGCATTTTTTTCTCCCTGCCTACTCCTCCCCCCCAGTTCACTCTTCTCTTTGAAAAGTAAAAGAAAAATTATTTCATAGATGGTAAACCAATTGACGTATTTCAGCTAACAGATGCTGCCCTGGACATGCTCACCAGGTTGTGCCAAGAAATCTGGAGAACAACCGCTTGGCCAACTGACTGGAAGAGATCTATATTTGTTCCCATTCCAAAGAAGGGTGACCCAACTGAGTGTGGAAACTACAGAACAGTGTCATTGATTTCACATGCAAGCAAGATTCTACTGAAGATTATCCAAAAACGACTGGAGCAGCACATCAGCAGAAAACTGCCAGAAGTCCAGGCAGTGTTTAGAAGGGGTCATGGTGCTAGGGATATTGTAGCTACTGTTGGATGGATCTTAGCTGAAAGCAGGGAATATCAGAGGAATGTTTATCTGTGTTTCATTGATTATGCAAAAGCATGTAACTGTGTGGATCATAACAAACTGTGGCTTACTCTGAGAAGAATGGGAATCCCAGAACACTTGATCATGCTAATGTGAAACCTATACTTGGACCAAGAGGCGTTTGTCAGAATAGAGCAAGGAAGCATTGCATGGTTCAAAATTGGGGAAGGTGTATGGCCGGGATGTGTCCTGTCTCCATACCTTTTCAAACTGTATGCAGAACAGATTATCTGAGAGGCTGTACTCTATGGGGAGAAGTGTGGCCTCAGGATTGGTGGAAGATCTATTAACAATCTGTGTTATGCAGATGACACAACCCTGCTTGCTGAAACTGGGGAGGGCCTGAAGTGCTTACTGCAGAGGGTAAAGGACTGCAGCCTCCAATATGAATTGAGGCTCAATGTCAAGAAGACAAAGATTCTCACCCTTGGACCAATTGGCAGCATCAGAATGGATGGTGAAGACATTGAGATTGTTAACAACTTTAGTCTGGTTGGCTCCATGGTCAGCACTCTTGGCACCAGCAGCCAGGAAATAAAAAAATATATTGCGATGGAAAGTTGGCTGTTAGGGACCTCTCCAAAGTACTGAAGAGCAATGGTGTCACTCTGGAGACTAAGGTGCATCTGCTATAGGTCATGGTCTTTGCAATCACTTGTTATGCATCAGAGAGTTGGACAATGACTAGGAAGGACAGAAGGAGAATTGATGCCTTTGAACTATGGTGCTGGAGAAGAGTATTGAATGTACCAAGGACTGCCAAGGAAACAGATTCATCCTAGAGAGGGTTAAACTGGGCTGCTTCTTGGAGGAAAGGATTCTGGGGCTTCGTCTGGCATACTTTGGACATGTTGTAAGGAGGGACCGGTCCTTGGAGAAGGACATCATGCTTGGGAGGGTAGAGGGACAGCGCAGGAGGGGAAGACCCTCTATGAGGTACATTGATTCAGTGACTGGGTTAATCGGGATGGGTGTGTCAGAGACAGTGCGATTGGCACAAGATAGAGCAGGGTTTTGGGCTGCTGTATGTAGGGTCGCTATGAGTCGCAAGTGACGTGACGGCACATAACAACAATAGAATCCCCCCACCCACCACCCCGAGTACACTCCTCTATGCAACCTTCATTTCTGGACTCTTGTGATAACCATAATACCCAATCATATATCACTTTTAAACTGTTCTCTTCCTCATCTGTTTCAATGCAGTTTACATAATAATATATCCAGTTTTTCTCAGTCTGACCCCAACACTGATGTCAGTCCCATTCTACAACAGTGGCACTATGCAGTATTTGTCCTTTTGTGACTGAGATATTTCACTCAGCATAAAGTCCTCCAAGGTCACCCATTTTGAATAATATCGCATGAGGTCCTTGTTTTTCAATGCAGTGTAGTATTCCATTGTGTGAATACAGTACAACTCTTAAGGATTACACCACCAGAGCTCCTCCCATTGAGTTCTAAAGCGGTGAAATAAGCAAAGGCCGGGTGAGGAGGTGGTCAAGACAGGATGGCATGGAGGGCCTCTTCTAAAGGAGTGAGGGTGCAGGATCCTTGTGGGGTGGCAGCAGGGAAGCACAGTTGGCCCTCACACTCCCACTCCACGGAGAGACTTGGGGAACAGTCCTGAAGCATGGGCCCCCACCTCTGATTCTGGACTTAAAGAGGTAGCCGTGGCGGGGGTCCCTGCAAACACCCCTCTCTTTCCCTTCCAGAGACCTCATCCAGCTCGCTCAAGGTGTGGGCTTACGTCTTCATCAGCGTGGGCACCTTCACCATGCTCATGGGCTTCCTGGGCTGTCTCGGGGCTGTCAACGAGGTCCGCTGTCTTCTGGGGCTGGTGAGTGCAGACCCTGCCCCACCCTGGCTGGACTGTGGGGAGGTCACCTCCGGAGGGGAGCAGGGGTTACGCCCAGCTGAGGAGCCCACAGCTGACTGTCCACCCTCTCTGTGTCCCCAGTACTTTACCTTCCTCCTCCTGATCCTCATCGCCCAGGTGGCTGCTGGGACCTTCTTCTACTTCAAAATGGGTGAGGTGAGTACCCTCTCCAGAGACTCTGGCGTGAGGAGGGAGAGTCGAGAAGTCACAGGTGGGTGTCCGGGCAGCTTCCTAGACAGACCTGCTTCTGCGATCACAAGGGGAACGTCAGAGAAGGCAGTACATGTGGGCTTGGATTCCAACCGGCTCTCACCACTTTCTAGCTGTGGGGCTTTGAACACGTTGCTTACTTCTCTATTCCTCAGTTTCACCATCTATAAAATGGGTACAGCAATATCCGTGAACTCTCAGGATTGCTGTGACCGTGTAGTCTGACCAGCTTAGAGAAGCACTTAGTCTAGTGTGTGGCCCAGTAAGCATACAGTACAGATTTGTTGTTCTTATCATGACCGTTTAAAAAAAAAATAAAAACCAGAACATTCTTCCCACTATCCAGTTCCTTCTGATCTCTGGACCCCACAGGGTCAAAACAGAATTGTTCCTCCCAGAGGGGATTTGGCTTGGTTACATTACAATGAATCTTTACTTGCAAATGATCATAATACCTTAAGTAATTGCAGGTACCAGGTTCTCATTCTGTTCTCTGGTAATTTTGTTACTTGAAACTAAAAGCCGCTACAAGTATCCTGTTTTTCAGAAGTTCTCTTTCTATTGCTTTGATTGCATTAAAGTATTGCTTTAGTACCTGTTTTCACTATCTAAGAGAAATCCAAGTAGAATATTTGCTTTCACAAAAACATAAATGTAGCTTTAGTGTTCAACGCATTAAGAGCATCGCAAAGCTCTGTCCCTGGGAGCAGCCCTCAGCCTTTAGCCACCGCTTTGGTCCGTGAACATGAAGGTAGCTCTGGTGGCGTGGTCTGTAGGGAATTGTGCTGCTAACCCAACCTTTGCTCCTCTGATGGTTCGAAGCCACCGGCAGCACCGAGAGAGAACAGTAGTCTCCTCCCATTGGGGTTTAGCCATCAAAACCCAGGGGCGGAAGTTCTAAGTCTGCACCAGCCGATGGCAGTGAGAATGAGTGAATGGGAATGGGAGCACCCCACTTCCGGTATTTTAGGGCTTATGTGCAATTTGGTTTAATTAGGTACCTATTTTGGAGGACTTTAGTTTGCTTGGCTCTGTAGTCAACAGTCTTGGCACCAGCAGCCAGAAAATTAAAAGGCGCATTGCCATGGGAAAGTCTGCTGTTAGGGACCTCTCCAAAGTACTGAAGAGCAATGGTGTCTCTCTGGAGACTAAGGTGCGTCTGATACAGGCCATGGTCTTCGCAATCACTTGTTATGCATCAGAGTTGGACAATGACCAAGGAGGATAGAAGGAGAATTGATGCCTTTGAGCTGTGGTGCTGGAGAAGAGTACTGAGAATACCATGGACTGCTAGGAAAACAAACAGATTTGTCCTGGAAAGGGTTAAACCGGGTGGCTCCTTGGAGGCAAGGATTCTGAGGCTCCGTCTAACGTACTTTGGGCATGTTGTGAGGAGAGACCAGTCCTTGGAGAGGGACATCATGCTTGGTAGGGTGGAGGGATGGCGCAGGAGGGGAAGACGCTCTATGAGGTGGATTGATTCAGTGACTGGAGTAATCGGGATGGGAGTGTCAGAGACAGTGCGATTGGCACAGGACAGAGCGGAGTTTAGGGCTGTTGTACATAGGGTCGCTATGAGTCGCAAGTGACTCGACGGCACATAACAACAACAACAACAACATTTTGGAGGATCTGGAAATGCTCAAAATTCCTCCCATACAAACTAGTGGCAACTGCTTCTTCATTTCATGCCATCTTGGTTTAGGAAAACTCTCAGCTGCTGAGTCAGAATCGACTCGCAGCTGACCCTCCGGTGGTGTTTTCTGGAAGCTGTAAAATGCGCAGGAGGAGACTGCACATCTTTGGATGTAAGCAGCCAGGACAGCACCGCCTTTGGGTTCACAGCCCAGGGCCCCCACGACTGTGCACTGCCCCTGAGCTCCCTTGGTCCCCCTGATTAAGGAAAAGTCTCACAAGAACGTACCTGCATTCCTTTTTCTAACAACAGAAAAGGTTATGTTAAGGCTGGCTGCTGCTTATACAGGCTACAAAATACCTCTCTTCTACTTTTCATCGATGAGAACCCTAAACCTCAAGAAAGCTTTGGGGAAAAGAACCTTTAACTTTAATCTTTCTTCAAAGAACTGTTTCTTTCCCCCTTCTTTTACTAGAGATCTGAGAACATAAAAGCCATAATTCTATCTGTGCTGTTGCAGTTAAAAAGCATAATAAAACCATTAGGTTGGTAAGAAATATGAGGTAGAAAAGATGGAATCTCTGTATAAGTTCTAAGTCTGTAGAAATTTCTAGGTTTATTATTCTCTCGCAAGTGAAGGCACCTTCTTTATGATGTACAGAAATAATTGAATGAATGCCTTTTCATGAGAATAAAATGCCTTCCCCCCATCCATTTATGTGGTAGTTTCCATGGATTTCTGGCTGGTTGTCACAGACAGAGGTCAGGAGGTCATCCAGGACATGGTCAGTGCAAGGCTGGGAACAGATCAGAAGAGTCACCTTTTCCTGGTCTCCTTCTCCGTAACCTAGAAAGGCTGTTATCTTTGTAGATCCTCAGAGGCAAACATAACAGCATCTTGCCTCACCTACTTTGGGGATGTTTTTAGGAGAGGCTGTTCACTAGAGAGGAACATCACGCTCAGGAGGGCGGAAGGTCAGCTAGAGAGAGGAAGCCCCTCAACCGGCTGGTTTGATACAGTGTCTGCCGCAGTGGAAACAAGCATGTCAGAGATGGTGGGGATGGCTCAGGACAGGACAGAGTCCACAGCTGTTGTTCACAGGGTCGCTGTGAGTCATACTTAACGGCACTAACAACAATAACAATGACCTTTGTAGAAGGAAGCTCTGGTGCCCGAGTGGGTCTGGAGCTGCACTGTCAGCTTAAAGGTGAGCAGATCGAATCCTCCAGCTGCTCCATGGGAGAAAGATGTGCATCTCCTCCTACGTGCTTTACAGTCTCTGAAGAGCTGTGTGTGGATCCAACTTGCTGGCAGTGAGCTGAATGTGAATTGCTGTAGAAAACTTCTTTCTCCTGTGGTGCAGCTGGTGGTTCTGAATCATCAACCTTTCAATTGGCAATGGAATGTTTTAAGCATAGTGCCACTAGGGCTCCTTCAAGCCAGCTTACCTAAACCAGACCCAGGGCTGTGTCCATTCTGACCCATGGTGGCCCTCCATCGCATTTCTGAAGCTGTAAATCGTACGGGAGAAGGCAGTCCATTTCTCTTCGTGGAGCCGCTGGTAAGAGTCAAACCCCTGGAGTTTCAGTTAGCTGTAACACACGGCACCACCACTTTCAAGCTACTTGAAACCAGATCCACTGCCATCAAGTCAGTTCTGACTCCTCGGAACCCTCCATCAGGTTTCTGGGATTGTGAATCTTTACTTGACGAGATTGTCTGTCTTTCTGCAATGGATCAGCAGTCTGATTAGGTCAGTACTGTGCATTTCCTCATTTCCAGATTTGTACTCTGAGGCACAGAGAAGTTAAGCGACTTACCCAAGGACACACAGCTGATATGTGGCAGAACCACCATTTGAGCCCGGGCAGCCTCACTTCTGAAATTATGGCGGTGAAATTTTCATTGTGGTCATTTCGGCCAGAGTCTGCTTTCCTTATTTATTATCTATGTCTGGCCTGCTTCCTGAGAGAAATGGAACTGGCTTTCAAGATAGGGCTCAAGTAAATAAAATCACAGTGCGAGAGATGAGAAACCCATACTGCAGCAGGGAAAGGCCAGGAGACAATATAGAAACTGACGGTTAATATAAATGCTGAGCTTCCTGGCAGCCAGGGCAAAAGGAGAAAGCAAGAGTTCCATAGACAAATGGCAGCTTTACTAAGTCGGACGCCCGTGATTAGGGGAAGGAAGCTACTTGTCTAGATGAAAGAGATGTGCGCTAGTTCTTCACATTTGTGCTGTGGCCTCTGGGACTTCTCTGGGGCCCAGTTTCTGAAAGATATTATGATCAGGGTCCGTATAAGCCAGGCTTAGCAAGTTGGTCCTTTTGACTGAGAAGCTGGTCATTTCTGAGAGTCTGGCGCTGTCCACCCTGTCACTCTTCATGTGTTTCACCGCTTTAATAACAAACCCCCTTTTTGGTGCCAACCCCGTGACAGGAGCTGAACTTGACCCACATTTCATATTCATAACCATTTTCCAGTTTAGGAAACAGGCTCAGCTGAGCAAAGTGACTTTGGCAGAGAACTCAAAGCAGGGGTGTGTCACAGCGGAGATTTCCATCCAGGCCCCTCTGACCCGAGGCCCATGGCGTCCCTCTGCGTCACACTGCCTCCTGGTGGATTAGTAAGGTCTCTGCAGGCTTCAGAGAGGGGCCCACAGCACCTGGAGCTGGTCTCCCAACTGTCCAGCCTTTGTCATAATACGCCACTGCCCCCTGCTTCACCTGAGACTCTGCCCCTCAGCCCCCACTAGGTCCACCTCCCCTTGGCCCCTCTGCTTTTCTGAAAGGCAGAAGGACATTTCCTAGCTATGCTGGGGAAATTCTGGCGCCACCCTGTTGGCTAAGCTGAAATGAATGATTTATTTTTCCTTTCCCAACACATTGTAAATCCTGGTAGAAGAATAAACATGCCTGTGGTGGTGTTTATTCCTGCAGATGAGGACCGGCTGGGATGTGGGGCTTATTAGAGCCTGAAGGGGAAAGGCTTACGAAAGGAGCTGGACTCCCTCTCCAGGCCTCCTGGGCCAGTGGGTCCCTGCTTTCCAACTCTTCTCTAACCCTGTATCTCCCTCCTCCACTCTCTGCTTCTGCTGAGTTCTGTGATTCACCGAGCCTCACACAGAACAGACGATACGAATGGTTTATCAGGGTAAAGGGTACAACCCGGGCATAATGTGAAGTAGTACTTGGGGGAAGGTTTGGAAAAGTCTGGGATGCAGACAGCATGACCTCTCCCTGGAAGCTGTCCTTCTCGTCGTCTTCTCCTCAGGAAGCTTCACTGGCCCTCACTGTGTGGACTGTTA